TTCAGCTGAAGCCGCCTGGAGCGCGTTGCCGTAGTGTCCACCCTGCGCGTTGACATCGGCGCCTTTGTCAAGCAGCACTTTTAACACCGCCTCGTGGCCTACAGCTGAAGCCGCCTGGAGCGCGTTGCCATGGCATCGTCCACCCTGCACGTTGATGTCGGCGCCCTTGTCGAGCAGCATCTTCACCACTGCCTCGTGGCCTCCAGCTGAAGCCGCCTGGAGCGCGTAGGCGAAGGGTCCGCCCTGTGCGTTAACATTAGCACCCTTGTCGAGCAGCATCTTCACCACCGCCTTGTAGCCTTCAGCTGAAGCCGCCTGGAGCGCGTTGCCGTAGTATCCACCCCGCGCGTTGACGTCGGCACCCTTATCGAGCAGCATCTTTACTACCTGCGTATGCCCTTTCTTTACTGCCAATAACAACGGTGTCTGGTAATCATTATCTTTAGCCTGTATATTGGCTTTTTCTCTCAGTAACTTTTGCGCTGTCGCCTCTTGGCCATATCGGGCAGCCCACAATAGCGCTGAGCTTCCAGATTGTAGTACATTGTGGCGGTAGAGGTAGCGATCTAGCAGACGATAAAGGTGGCAGTTAGCTTGTGCAAGAGCGTTAATATCTTTCTCAGATTCTAGGTTTTCTGATATATTTTGGAGCAACTCATTTGATAGATCAAGTAGTGACATTACTGAAGTAGCACGTGTCGTGAAAGAAGCCTAAAAAGAGAGAGGTGAGGACGATAGTGGGGTAAGCGGCAGTAGGGTAACTAAGCCACTAGGGTTCTCCCAATCTGAGCTGGTTTTTGGGCCGTACAGCCACACAGCCCCACAGCCAGAGATATAATTAGTATCAGCGGTGATGAGTTACCACTAAGCCACTTTAAGCTAGGTGTGCGGGACCTCTTCATCTAGCATTTCTAGTAGGCAGATTTGGAATCAGCATAGAAGCATAATAACCTCTTAAGCCTAAATAAAGTGCTCGGGATAAGTATTATAAGAGCAACGAGTAGTATCAGATAATCGCGTAATGAGAATTATTAAGTACCGTGTCCGTGCGCATAATACATGGATTCGCGTAATACATACGTAACACCATAATAGGTCTATAAGAAATATGGCAATAGAGTCACATATAGTAGCGAATAATATATAATTTTTTAGTAGAGTTCTCTATTAATACTTACGATTAACTGCGCTACTAATATTTACTTAGAAGCTTAATATTATAGCCGTGCCACGTAATCTTAGGTGGAGCTGCTAATGCGGTATATAAGGCATCCTTATTAGCTATAGTATTAACTATATATTTCTAGTGCTTATTACTCTATATAGATAGTGGTGGTACCTTTCTTTTACCCTTTTAGGTAGATTTTAGAGCTTTTACCACCTTATAAGCCTCCTTTTTATAAGTGTACTCTACTACCTTCTTAGCCCTCTCCTACTTCCTAGCTA